TGAATTTAAGAATATAGAATGCATATGAAACTTTATTCATGTCTATAGAATTTACGAATTGATGAATAATTAACCATTATGATTATCATTTTGAATCATGGATGAGATTTTTGCTTTGTTTTTCCTTTGTTTTGCCTAAAAGTTTTGGTTGATATTCAGCTTTTATTTTTTTTTTATCAAATTCAATCATCATCATAAATAAACATCCACTATTACACACAGTGTTATGTATACACACAGTGCTAATTTTAAATGATCAAACGACAACAATATATCGATAATCAATATAACAATGAATGTCTTTGGAAAAAAAAACTTTTTTTCCTTCTAGTTCTCTTTCATCCAGAAAAAAAATTGTTATTACATAAAAAGAAAAAAAAATCATCATTATTTGATAGAATGGCCCTTGGCCATATAGACAATTCCATTGTTTTTATTATCATCATATTATTGTTATGATTATGTACATTTCTCATGAATGAATCAGTAGTCATACACAATGGTCATTCATTTCATTGATGATTGTGTGGTTCAATGATGATGATAATAATGAAGAAAAATCTGAAGAGAAATTCCGGTTTGTTCGATTGTTTGTTTATTTTTGAGCTTTTCACCTTTTGTTTTTGTTTGATTCTTCATTGAAGAATTTTTTCTTTTTTTTTCTTTCTTTTTCCGCTTGGTAGCAGTGTGGCTACTAGAGTGTAACTTTTATTATTATTATTTCAAATATGATAATAATAATCATACTGGCCATAGGGGCCATTGTTCTTTAACTTTCTTCCACCTATAATGATTGAATGTTGTGAAATTTTTTTTTTTTTGCTGACCATGCTTACTTTATTTGTTTGCTTGCTTATTCGATGTGAACAAGAAACAAGAGAAAACGATAAAAACTAACCAAGCTTGCGAATTTTTTTTTTAATTTTCTTGTTTGTTTCATCTAAAAATTTCTGATAAGCAGTCAGGCAGGTAGGTGAGTTGTTGTTGTTGTTGTTTTTGTTATGTAAGCAGAAACTATTTCTTGTTGTTGTTGTTGTTGTTATATTCTTATTCTACCTGTCTGACTCGTATAATGAATGAACAAAACAAAACAAAATCAATCAATCAATCGTTCGTCCTAATCGTTAATAGATTGATACGCATTTTTTTGGCTACCTTGTTTTTTGTTTTATCAATAACTACAATATCATATTTAATGGGTGTGGATTATATCCATTCTATGTCGTTTATCTTTAAATTGTTATGCGACAGGTTAAATTTTGATTTCGTATAGATGGTTATTAACTTTTTGATATTTTTTTTTTTTTTTTTCATTTGATTACCTGATTGTTGTATGACCACCTTTTACATTTTACCTATTTAGATTATCTATTTCTATTAATTGTTTTTTTCTCTCGCCTTGGTCATCTGATTTTTCATGTGAAATTTTGGTTATTTTCATTATTATTTCATTACAAGACTATAGAAAAACCAGTTTTAGTTTTTGTAGTTGATTTTATTTTTTTGTGGTTGAATTTTATTTCAAATAAAAGTCAAGAGTTTTTTTCTCTGAGATATCCTGATTATGTTAATGTCAGGGTTATGAACCATCCACCCCCACACACACATACAACATTTAATTTTATGATGATTCCATGTTTTAATCATGATTATGGTGATGATGATGATGATGATGATGATGGTTAAACATCCAAAAGACCAAGATAGATGCCGAAATATGAGATTTAGAGAGAGAGAGAGAGAGGATTAAAATTATTTATGTCCAAAACTGAAGAAAAGATTAGATCTTCTTTCATTGTCTTTCTTTAGAATGAATATAAAAATAATAATAATATGAACGAATAATAAATATATGAATGAATAGATGAAATAGAAAAAAATGTTTGATGTAAAACCGAAACAAGTTATATTCAGAATAATTGACTGAATGAATGTGTATATAATACAAAAGGCTAACACAGAACAAAACTTTTATCTGGTCAGACCACTTTCTTTTCTTCTCTCTCTCTCTATTCCTTGCATTTCGAAGCTGTGTTGATGATAGATTTTGTTGAAGAATTTGTTCAATCATCGTGGTGATGATGGTGGACATCATGATTGGACAATCATCATCATCATCATTATTTAGACGTTTGTTTTCTCTATTTATATCCAGTTTTTTTTTCTGTCAAAAAATTCTTATCTATTTTATCATCATTTTCATTGGATAATGATAGTGATGACCAACAGTAGAAACCAGGTGAACAATTCATTATGAAGATTTTTTTTTCTATTTTCTAATATTTCCATTCAATTCAGCTATAAACATATTATTATTATCTATAGGTTCAAATGTCCATTACGGTAGATGAAAAAAAAACGAACAAAAAAAGGCTTTTTTCAAGGCGATGATCTTAGAATCTAAGCACGTTTTTGTCTGTTTTTTTTTGGTCAAAAGAACCGAATCGATTTTGGATAAAAAAATTCTGAATTCATAATTTTGACTGGTATTTTTGGTATTATGTCCAAACTTTTGTTTTGTTTTCGTCTTTTTCTGAATTGTTTACCGAATTTCAGGTGTTTATGTGTGTGTGTGTGTGTGTGATCAGGTTGTTTTTGTTACAAATTCAGTCACATTCACAATATTGAAAAAATATGGCCATGTTTAGAATATAAAATAGCGATCATTTAAAGTGAATGGACATCCTCCTTTGTATATCAAGTGTGTTTGATTATATCATCCATAAGCATTATCCATGAAATATGACGAATTCTTTGAAGAGAAAAAACAACAACAACAAAGTCCACTTCAAGTTATGATGGGTGTTGTGTGTGTGTGTGTGTGTGTCTTTCTTTATTTGTTCCGCCACCTTCGTACATTAGATGATGATTTCTTATTTTATTTACCGTTTTGATGTAAAAATAAGCACGTAAAGGAAAATATTTCCTTAATTTTAATATATATTCACATTGAATAAACAATTGCTAAGAATCGGATGTTGATGCAGATGATGATGATACGAATGGAGTGGGAAAAAAAGGTGCCAAAGAAAAAAAAGGTCTTTATATTTGATTTCATTTTTGTTTTTGTTTTTGTTTTTGTTTTTGTTTTTGTTTTCCTGCCATTTATTCATTAAACATACACATTTTTTGTTATATTATTCATTTCATTTGCATACAAACCATCATCATTGACACACACACACACACACACACACACACACACACAGGTGACATTGATTGAATACATTATTTGTTGACCACACACATACAGGTATATATAATATATAATGGTTATAATCTCATCTAATGTATATATATAGATGTTGTCCATTGTTTGTTTATGTGAATTTTTTTTTTGTTTTCTCTTGTCCAAAAAAGAAGGAAGGAAGTTTAACAAAAAAAAACAATACAATACAATGACATTGTCTAATGGTAATGGCAATGGTAATGGTTGACCTCAATGAAACAGTTGAATTATTTTATGACTATGAATATTTTTTTTTTCTCTTGAATGGAAAAACATTACTGAAACCAATGTGAAGATGGTTGTTGTAGTTTTATTAAATTTCGTTTTTTTTGGAGGGTAATAAAAATGCAATGATAAAATGTGTGATTGAAATTGAATTTGGATTCAGACGAAAAAAAAAATTTTGGAATACATTGATCAATAATAATAATAATAATGATGACCTGACCTTATTGTGTGACCAGGTGTGTTTGTCGACTTGATAAGGTCATTTAAGTGGAAAAGAAATTGATTAGTGTACAGATTTGACCTCGGAAGAAACAATTTGATTTTTATGGTATGTGTATTCGTGTGTGTGTCAAAGATGAACATGATTCATACATTTCATTATCATGAGATGTGATGCTCTTTTCTATGAGTTTCCGTTTTTTTTCCTTTTAGAAAAAAATTCCATTTTTATCAAAATTGTGAAAGTGAATTTATATATTCACAAATATTTGCGAATACGTGCGTGGGTAAAATTTATTCAATATGAAAAAAAAGTGAAATTTCTTAATCTTATGCCTGTGTGTGTGTGTGTGTGTGCAATACTGTATGATGCTTGAGGCCATCATAATGAGAAAATGTTTTGTTTCGTAGAAATTAGGAAAAAAAACTAGGTTAGCCCTACGGGTTGGGCCTGGTGATGATCATCACTGATAATGAAATATTATATGGACCGTCGTCGCCATCTTTCTCTCACACTCTCGATCTTTTTGCCTGCTGATCATCAAATAATCAAATATTTTTTTTGTTCTATTCTTTCTGATTATTGAGGCTGTGGTCAAATTGTGGTGAATTTTTTTTTTTAGAATCACAGCCATTGTCAATCATTTCATTTGATGATCCAAATAAAGTGAATATAGTAAGAAAAACATGAAAAACAAACGAGAATTATTGAAATTCAATTAAAAAATGCTGTATATATTAAATATAAATGTCAACCGAATTTCATATTACCAACAACAGGCCATTAATAATTTGAATCAAATGTCTTTTTTTTTGGCATTCAAAACAAATAAGGTGGGGCAATTTTTTTTTCTGAATGATTCAATAATTTCCAAGAATATTTCATTTTAATTTGCTACCATCACACACAATTACCTTATTATTCACTTCAATCATAGTTATTGAATGAAATGAAATGAAATAATTATACTAATGGGACTTGTTGTTGTTGTTGGTGCGTCATCTCAAAAAAAAAATCAGGTCAAATGTATTCAAAAATGTTTTTTTTTTCTGTTCCAGAATTTTTTTTTTTTTTTTTTTGAAAATTATATTCACAATCATTATTCGGTTGTTTTTCTTTTGTCTGATAATCATCCGTAATTGTGAAAATGTTTTATTGGTGTAAATTTTATAGCCAAAATTCTGAGAAAAACATACATCGACATTTTGCAAGATTTTTATCATTCAAATTCATTTTATGTGAATCCTTCATAAAATAATTTACAATGTTTCGGTCATAGACCCTTTTTTTTTTTTATTATAGAAATAAACCCCTATACCTTTATAAATAGGGATAAAAATTTATATACAAAAATAATAAATTATAAACATTTATATATCAATAATAAAAATTCAAATAATTGCACAGGAAATTTTGTAATCCAAATCGGCAAGGTCTCTTCATGTAAAGATAAACCACACCGGTTCTCAATCTGGAAACGAGGACTCGCAAATCGTTGACAATAGCAAATTAAATGTATAGAATTTTGAGTATCTATTCCACACCAGCACGATGAGTCAGTAGAATACCCAATATTATATAAATAATGACGAAATTTACCATGTCCGGATAAAAATTGAACTAAAGTAAAATTTAGATCAATATAGTATGATAAACGATCATAAATAGACGGGAAGAAGCGTCTTGTAACACTTCCATCTCTACTTGTTTTCCAGCGATTATCCCAATAATAAAACATTATATTTTTCAAAAAATATTTTGCCAAGGAAACTGGACAAAAATCATACGAAATATAAGAGAGATTTGTAGCATCTTTTGCATGTTGATCAGCCAGTTCATTACCAAGATAGCCAGAATGTGAAGGTATCCATTGAAGACAAAAATGTATTCCAACCAAATTTAATTGAATACCATGAACCAATAAATCATTACTTTTACTTGAACAACAAGCAAGAAGAGCAGAATATGAATCAATAAAGATTTTCGCGGATTGATTATTCCTTTTTAACCATTCAGATGCTTGATAGATTGCAAATAATTCAGCTTGAAAAATGGAACATGAATCAGCCAAACGAAATTTTAAAATATCAATAGATTGATTAGAATTAGCAGGAAAAATCACAACTGCACACCCAACATGACCGGCCAATTTTGAACCATCAGTATAAATATGATAATTGTGATTAAAATTACAAACATTATTTAAAAAATTAAAAGATACAGATGGATGGTGAAAATCCTCAACAGGCAACGTTAATTGAAATTTTAAATTTGATAAGTGATCCACTGGTAAACAATGTTTAATGCGATACATATTGGCAAGATAAATTATTCTTAAATCAATAGGTACGATATTTGCCAACACTAAAGAAGCTTCTAAAGAGATAGTTCGATATCCTCTTATTATTGACAGAGCAAAAATACGCTGAATTGATAATAAGCGAGATTTGACATTCGTTTTTGATAAAGAACCATAGACCCTTATATATCACAATATGTAAATTTGCTTTTTGAACTTTTTTTTCCTATACTATTTCTTCCACTGTTTTATCATAATCATTGTCGTTATCATGATTATGATGATGATGATGATGATGATGAATCCGGTAAATTCTTGAGATTCTCTGGATTGTTGTTTCATTTAAGAAAACTTTATTATTATTGCTATTTTCAATTGTATTATTTTTTTTTCTTCTTCTTCAAATGTTTCATCGTCATCGTTGTCTTTGTTGTTGTTGTTGTTGTTGTTGGAATACATTAAGCATGTTAAGTCATTCATTCATTTGTTTGTTGTCTAGTCGTTTCACAATCACAATTGTATGGTATGATATTTGCGTGTATGCAGGCTGTTATCATCATTATGATCATTTAGATATTGTTGGTGGTTGGTGAATGAATGTTTTGGCCAGAAAAAAAAAAGTAAAAAAAAAATATTCGACAAATGGCAAAAATGATTATGATGATGATAATAATAAAGTCAGGTGATGGTTGGTGCTTAAATCACCTGTGTATGTGTGTGGTCGTTAATTTTTTTTATAGATTTTTTTTCCATTACTTTTACAATAGTAAAGCCTACGGGCCCATGTTGGTCAATATATATACGATTATCATAGCTGTCTGTTGTTTGAGGCCATGCATGTATGGTTTATTTAGTTTAGCTAGCTGTAAAAAAAATCACCATGGTCCACACCATGGAATTCCAGTTTTAATGTTGTAAATTTTTGGTTTTTTTTTCTGCTGTAAAAAAAATTTGTCCACTATATTTTGCTTGTTGCTTGCAATGTGAGCATTTGTTTGTTTCCAATATAAAACGGGTACATAAGAATCTAAAATATTCAATATTACATTAAATATTGATGATCAATATTGAAATAAACATAAACACATCATATGTACAATGTGATTGAATTGGCCATTTTCTATCATATTACATATCCATCATTAGGTTTAAAGAATCTATCTCAGGATTATAAAAGGTCCAATAATAATAATGATGATGATGATGATGATGGCATTGATGATCCTGAAGCAGAAAAAATTCACAAAATCACATGAGAACATCAATAATATACATACTATATATACACATTTTGGTTATCGCTTATGGCTATAATCGGAATGCATGAATGAACATTGTTCAAAGAAAAAAAAATTGCTGAAAACAAAAATTAAGCCATGCGTTTTTTTTTTTTTTTTTTTTTTTGATCTCGATTCGTTTAATCAATGAAATACCAGCATCTGCCTGTGAGTATGTGAGTAGTATGTGTGTGTGTGTGTGTGTGTGTGTGTTTGCATGCGTTCCAGATTAAAAAGTTTTTGAAAAAAAACATACTCTATCTCACTCAATGAGAGAAGAATATTCTCACATTCTATTCTCTATATATTATATTATTAATGATGATGATTTTTCACTTTTTTTTGGTTTTTTTTTTCTATTTGATTCGATTGTTGTAACCAAGAGAAATGAGAAAATTAAACACCAGAGCATGATAATGATGAATAAAACTTTGAACGAATTTTTGACAAAAAATTTTTTTTTTTATCATTCACTTAGGACAATCATTTAATCGATGGATATCGAATCGATCGATCGATTACCGTGGACAGATATTTTCGCTCTGTGATTTAGTCAAATATTTTAATCTTGTAGATTGATGAACTTTTCAGAATACTTTGATTTTTTTTTTGTAAAGAAAGCGAACAAATGTCATCGAGTTATATTGTCGATAATGTTTGTGTGTATCGTGCTAATAGTGAAAACTAAACTAAAAAAAAAATGATCCATAATAAAGTATTGACAAAAACAGCACTATAGTAATCAGATTATTGTTGTAGATAGCAATGTATGATGAGTTTGGAACAATTGTATGTTTGGATTCGGGTTCTGGTTATGTAATTGATGATGATTTTTTTTATACTCATTCTGGGTAAGTTCCTTTATAATGGTTGGGTTATTATCATCATTATTATTATGGCAGAACTACTGTATTGTAAAGCTTTGTGGTCGGAATGGTGATGGTGGTGGTGGTGGTTTTTTGCTTCAACATTTTTATATAATTTATATGGTATTCAATTTTTCTTCAACTTTTTCCGATTCTATTGCTGTTTTTCACAATAACAACAACAACAACAACAACTGCTTTTTAGAGAAAGAGAGAGATCCAGAAAAAACCATTGATGATGATTCTATGGAATGGTAGAAAAAAAATAATTCTTTTTTTTCTGTACCCGGAATCGTTTTTTTTTTTTTTTGGTTGTGGTTTAGTTGAATGTTGAATTTGTCTCGGTCGTTTTTTTTTAATATTTCTTGTTGGCCGGTTTCTCGTTGTACAATCAGATATTTTTATTCAGCACCAAAATTTTTTATTTATATATTTCTCTCCCTCATTTATATAAATATAGAAAAAAAAGAATTTCTCTAGTAAATATGGAACGATAATGATGATGATGATGATGATTTTTCTTGTTGAACTTAATTCGTGATTTTTGTTGTTGTTGTTGTTGTTGTTGTTGATGTTTATTTCTTGGAATTTCCATTTTCATTTCGATATATATAATCATCATGCCATTCCATTCCATTTCATTTCGTTTCATTCAATTTTCATTTTTGCTTGTAAGCATTGTAAATCTTCACATCAGAGGATAGGGAATCTTATCTGTTTTTTTTTCTTCTTCGAAAATTTGTCATCATCATATTGCACATTTTGGCTTCCAGCATATGGACTAGACATTGGTTTTTTTTTTGGAAATTTTTTTTTTTCGTCAATCCAAAAATATCAGAAACAAACAAACAAAAAAATTTTGTTGTTGTTGTTGTTTTTGTTATCCAACAGCCTTTGCTGCCTAAAAGTAGATTTAGATGAATGTATGAATTTAGATACCAAAAAAAAAATCTTTTTTCATTAGTTTTCGTTTGTATGTCATTTGATGATGAAATTTTTTTCATTGCATTACATTAAATTCTGGTAAACATGACTAAATAATGAATAAATAATCTAAATAACTATCAATCGATTATTAATTAATCAAAATCTATTTGCTACCATCAAATTCTGTATTGAGAAATATTCTCATTAAAAAACAACCACCAACACACACACACACACACACACACACACACACAAGACTGATTGATTGATTGATTTAGTAAAAAAAAGGTCATATAATAAATAGAGTTAATCATTGAGATGTATAATGAGATTCTTTTTCTTCAATTTATATTCATAAATATTTTCATCATAAAAATTTCCGATTATTATGTGGCTAATTCTAGCTAATTTTTTCTCCCACAGACATTTTTGTCATCATCATCATCATCATTTATATATGTGTCATCCATGTGAATCATGTGTTTGATTTGAATCCGAAACAACAACAACAACAACAACAACTATACCAGCTTGTTAGATTTTTTTTCTCTCTTTTTCTCTCTTTTTTTTGAGACGTGAATTTTTTTCCACTTTTCCATTTTTTTTATACCCATCAGCATTCATCTTAAGAATAATCATTTTATTAAGATGGCTTTTGGTCACATTTTCTCCATTTTTTATTCAATTCTTTACCATCATCATCATAATCATCATTCGTTGTATAACACACGAACAAAAATTTGTATCCACATTATGTGCATAATAGTTTTAATGGTTTTTCTTTTCCTTGATTTTGTCATTTGCTTGTTTTTTTTTTTTGGTTAGTTAACAGCGGCGGCAGCGGTTGCATTTATTGGAACTTGGGGAGGTTGTGTGTGGATGTAAATAGAAATGATGATGATGATGATGATGAAATGGGAGTTAGCGACCGATTTGCTTTTTTCTAGTTTCATCACTTTTTTTCTGGATAGAATTTTCTTTGTTGGTTTTTTTTCTGTCCCATTGGAATTACGTTGATGATGATGATGATGGTGGTGGTGGTGGTGGTATTTTGTATATGTTGTGTGTGTGTGTGTGTGTATGTGTGTTGTTTACGGTAATAAAGGAGATGAATGTAAAAAAAATGTGTATGTGTGTCTGTATACTATTGGTTCCAGAATCATCAAGAATTGATGATTATAATGGTATGGGTGTTTTGGAATAGTTGGAATATTCATTCTATCTATCTCTATATTTATGTTGTGAGTGTTAAAATATTTTTTTTTTCATGCTCATAATTGGCTGTTTCAACACTGATGATTGTAATAGCTATATTTTCATTATCATTTTTCTCTGCGTGTGTGTGTGTGTTTTGACAAAAAAAAATTTACTTTATGATTACAGTGTTGATAGACCGAGATTGTAGAAAATTATGCAGAAGTCTTTTTTTCTTTTTTTTTTGAAAAAAAATCTAGACCAAATTTGGATGGTGAATTTTTTTTTGTTGCATTCATCATTGGCATTATTCCATATAATATTTAGTTTCAGGTTTTTTTTCTTTGTTACTCATCATGTATATAAAAATGTTTTGGAATTTGTTCGTTTTATTTTTTGTTGCAAATAAATCGGTCGATTTAAAAATATATAATATTCAATGCATGTACCATGGCCACAAACCGATGGCAATTGATGATGATTGTAAATGGCGCTAAATCCACATTTAGATTTTTGAATTGGAAAGCAAAATAAAAAAAATAAATAAATAAATATGGCCCCCATAAAATTATTATAAGGGTCGTTGACATTGTTTCACATTCGAATACACATATCATACTAATGGTGTGCTGTGCAGACAAAGAATCTTTTTTTTCTCTTCTTTTTTTTCAACTAAAAAATAAATATACCGTACAGAATCTAGAAACTTTTGATCGTACTGAAAAAACCAAAACCAAAACAACCAGAATCATTTGGAAAATTCTTTGATGATGACGACCAACCAGGCCACAAAAAAAACCGGGCAAAAAATGATAATAACCGAAAAAATGAAAGAACAAAAAAAACACGGTACAAATACAAAATATATCTATATAGAATCTTTGTTCTCGATATCTCGATCT